TGCTCCAGGCTGGCCTTCTTTTCCTCCTCCAGTTTCTGTTTATAGTATGCTGACATGCTGATAAAACAATGAAAAATAAAAAACCTGTTGGGTTGTCTCTCTCTGGCATCTTTGTCTGCACAGTGTCTATTTATTATTCACACACACACACACATTATATAACTACACATTTATGAACAACACACTGATGTTCTGTACTCCTACAGTATAATCAACAAGCAACTAAATGCTGTAAAAGAGGCAGTGACTTGAATACTGTTACTTACAGTATAATGTCATGTACTGTACATTGTGTTGATACTTATAGATAGATAGATAGATTCTTTATTGTCCTTTCCAGAAAAATGTGTTGCCACAGTCTGTACATAATCTCACACGTATACACACAACATTAACACAAGATAGACATCTAAACAAAGCACATTTGTACATACATTCAGATATTGACACATAACGGCTACCGGGGAGTTTTGTGGAGTAATGCTATGGCAGAAGGGATGTTCTGAGTCTGAATTGGGCAGCCCTATTTATAACAACATGAAATGTACATCTAAACTATATATTATCTTTTGCTGATTACATGTATTTAGTGTATCTCAGCAAACGTACTGTATACGTATTTGTGTATGGTAAACAACCTGAAGATTTCTGGTGATTGGTTTGTTACAAGGAAACTTACTCCCTGAGAACAGAGCCCGACCAATATGGGATTTAGGGGCCAAAACCAATTTTAGAGGCGAAAAATTCACCAATCTGGCAGCTGATATAGTGAATTTTTCTTTTCTATATAGACATGACCATATAAAAGGTCCTCACAAGGCTGCTTTCTTAAACAAATAACACAAAATCTTTAATATAAATTTAACATTGTCAGCCATTTCTAGTTGACATTGCTGAGAGCTGCTTCTTCTCTCTTACTCTGTCTGTCTCTAATTTTATCTCATGGTGCAAAGACTCATATTTACAACTCAACGTCTCTAAAACCAAAGAGATGTGTATTGACTTTCGTCGCAATCCTCCCACCACTGCTTCAACTTTGATTAACGGCACAGCGTTGGATGTGCTAGCATACAAGTTTACTTGGGCAACATTTTAGATGATAAATTTGAATTTTGCACCAATACAGACTATATATGTAAAAAGGCCATCAGGAGACTGTTCTTTTTAGAAATGTTGGAAAGGGTTTAATGTTGACAGATCACTTCCTGACAAACTTTTTTATTCATCTTTTTGTTGAGTCAATTTTACTTTTTGCTTATGATCTGCATGGTTTGGCAATTTTGAGTGGTAATCAACCAAAAAGACTGGATAAAATTTGTACATATGGTCAGAAAATATTGGCACTGACCTTAAACAGGCATTGGGTATATGGTATGGGCAGAAGCACTACAGAGGGCAATGGCCATTCTGGTAACTCAACTCACACACTACACTCTGAGTTTGCTCTTACATTCAGGAAGGATGGTATACCGCTTCCCGAAAGCTGCCAGGTCGTAACAGATCCTGAGATCATTTGCTACTTCGCTGTTGGGTTTCTCAACAACTATAGGGTAATCTTCAATCCTGCCCCATGGTCACAGCTAATTATCTATTATTGTTTTTGTATTATTATTTGTCTAATATATAATATAGGTTATATATATATGTACATGTGTATTTATGCTTATATTTATTCATCATTAATGGTTTTTTATTGTGTGTTTGTAGGCGAATGAGTATGTGTTGGCTACTGTTGTGGAACCAAATTGCCCCTTGGGGACAATTAAAGACATTTCAATTCAATTCAATTCACATCTCTGTGCACAAATCACCAGTGCCAGGTGTGTTTTCTGCCCAAAGAGCCACTTTTAACAATCCTGATGCAAGATAATGTAACACATACCTAGAGACCCAACAGAAAGGAAGCAAGACTGTGTACCACCATGCTAAAACCTGGAACAATAAAACTACTCTGTTTAGTACTTTGTTGGGTTAATTACCATGTATTTCCACTTTGAGTCACTGGGCTCGTGTCAGCATTCACTGGGCTGAAAGGAAGGGAACTTCTTGGACAGACACCACTCCATAACAGGGTCTCCCCTAACAGACAGACATTTTGACCCTTCAGTCTACCTGACCTGCTCATCTTTGAACTGTGGACACAGAAGGGACATCAAACCGCACAAAGGAAAGAGCACTAACCATACAGCTCGGATACTTCCAATGTTCCAATTTAATTTCTACAGACCGTCCTATGTGAACTCTTCCCTCCATTACATGCTGTGGTTGTCTGTAAAAATACCCTGTATTGTTTGGGTTAAGAAAGACTCTACCAAGACAGGAGAGCATTTTTAGAAAGAGACGACAGACTTAAAAAACAAGCCTGACTTGGTTTCTTGAGGTTTCTTCTTGTAAGGGATGAAAGAGGAGAAGCAGCAAGTATGTGAAGCATTAAAAGTATTCAGTTGGTTGAACAGTGAAGGGACAGAGGGCAGCGAAGCCCGGCTGTGACCCAGACTAGTCAGCTGGACACTGTGAGGTCGAGGCGAAGGTCAGGTGGGTCATTTTGCCGGTAGAGTGACACCTTGCTGTACCTGGGCCAGCTGAGCATTACAAAGAACTGTGGAGGAGTCAGAGCAGCAGCCGGGAGCTTGGAGGCCATTTTAACACCAGCTGCTTAACTGGGCTCTTCCAGGCTGAGATGACCTGAGCTATTAGTATTGCATTTGTCTGTTGATCAAGAGGAATTGATTAAATAACAACAGTACTGTGAAGGAAAAGCATTTAATTACAAAGAGAAAGCCACACTTAGGAACAACCTGACAACTTGAATAAAAAATGAAGAAGAGGGAGTCTTGTGCTCGGATAACTAATAACCCAGCACAACACTGCATGAATAATAGTTAAAAGTTAACAATACCTACAGCATAATGCATGATGAGGAGGTGGTTGGGGTGGTGGCAGCTGCAGCAGTTAATAGCATGTGGCACGAGGGTAACAGTAATGTAAAAGTAAGAACTGTCAGATTATAATATTTGCCCTGTATACCTCTTTAATTAAATGTCAGTAGCAGATCACCTGATGCAAGTATTTTTTAGTGCTCAGCCTGAAGTAACAAAATTCTCCATTTAAATGATTTTAATACGAGTACACACAGGAAATATGTTTTTCTGACTAACAATCTATATAATAAAATATAATCTGTTTTATACCACTTAAGATTAATTGGGTATAATTTGAGCTGAACTCAGTAACAGTGTTACCTCTGTGTCTGTCAGATGGGGAAACTAACAATATATGTAGGGGTGTTTTAATACATGGACATTTTTTATGCAGCGACAAAAGAACAAATACCAGTTTACATATCGAAGCCTCTCTGTCAAAAAATAATTTAAACCACAGCTATGTAAAACACTTGTGTCTGATTGGGTTGCAGGATAAAACCTTATCTTTTAAAACCTCAAACAGAGGTCTGCACAAGAGCTTACTTCCCACCAGGTATATTACACTTCAGGCAATAATAGCAACAATAATGATTCTACATGCTACATTAACATTTAACCATCATTTGTGAAACAACCTCCCTGATATAATTTGGTAAGTGGCCATTAGAGGCCATAAGAGGCATTAAAATACAGTCAGAGGACTCCAACTGAAGAAAATCATTTGGGATCTGAAGGGTTTTCCACCTCCTACTCATCCTTTTTATTATATGTGGGCACGTCAGCAGACATTATCAAATCCAAAGGTCTATTTCTGTGCTGTTTCTGACTGATTTTGCACCAGTGTGTTAGCTACGACATCAGTGCAGCAATCGGTCAGAATTGTACCTGAGTACAATAGGTAAAATATCTACAAAGTTGGTATAAGTGGCTGCAAGAATGTGCACATTAACACTGATTATTTTGTTGAAAGAAAGCCAACAAAACTTTGTTCAGATTAAATTACTTGATACTGAAACTCACCTGTATGTGTAACACTGGATCAACTTCTACAAAGTGTATTTGTTTAGATAGTGTATCTTCTTTTCCTTCTGTTTCTATACATTAAACTGAGATTTTAGCCAAACCAGTTCTCCAACACACCTCCATGTTGGCAGGTGATTTGACAAATTGCTTTTTTTTTAGATTTAGCGATGAACTTGAGAAAAATGAATTAGCATATAATCCATTTTGTATTTTATGTTATATACTGTGTTAAATGTTTTCTTGTTCGGTCCAACTTACAGCTCATCAAGGCAAGTTCTTCACAACGTGTGTTGTAATGGCAATGCCTAAAAACTGCTTCAACAGATCACTTAAGGCTCAGTTCCACTCTCACAGAGCCCGCTGACAGAGGGACTCCTCAGCCGGCCGAGGTCAATAAGGAATGCACCAGGGGAGAGGGAGGGAATGTACCACTGGGGTGTTGAGGAAGGGGGTGGGGTGGCAGCGGAGGAAACACAGAGGGGGGAAACAGAGGGGTCTTTTGTGAGACAGGAAGCTGCTGAGACCAGGGCCCTCTCTCTGGGTACAGTAGTGGAGCAGAGAGAACTCTGGGATATGGGAAAGATGTGACTGAGGGGATGAAGATGAAGTTAACTGAGGAGGGAGTGAAGGACATGAGGAAGACACCTGGGAGGTGGTAGAAAGAGGGCTGAGTGACGGAACAAGATGCAAGATGGAAGATATGTACAAATACGGTGTAGGAGTGGAAGTAGTTATATTGAGTGGCAAGAAGTTAACATGATATTTATTTTTCCCAGGGGATTTGAACCATACCAACACTTGTAAAATTATCTCAGTGGAATTATTAGAATAGCAACTGTGTTTAACAAGTGTGGTTCCTAGTATAAAAGTCAAACTGAATATATAACAACTTTAGAAATACAGTCAACTAAAAGCTCCAAACAGCACTACAATAAAACACATCCAATCACCAAGCTTAAGCACTGTTAATGGTGTTAGTGAAGTTACAGGCTGAACTTTGTTGAGCTTGTTGGATAAAACAATTAAAACAATTCAGTTTTACATGCACCAGTTGTAGGACAAAAACTCACAGAACAGAAGTTAATTGAAGACTGTATTGACAGACGTTATCAATGTATTACAAGTGATCGGACTATGAGATGTAAACCTTAAACCAGGCAGGTCCACTGAAGTCAGAAATCCGTCTAATTTCAGCAAGGGTGGCCTACAGGTTATAAAAATGGGCATGTGACTGGAAAATTGCCAGTTTATTCCCCAGACTCGCAGGGAGAGGATCACCACCTGCCATTACAAACACAACTGAGGTGCCCTTGAGCAAGGTCCTTAACCGCGAGCTGCTCCAGCTGGAGTTGCTCAGTGACCTACAAATCTGACTGTGGTTGTACTGCGCAGCTGTGAATGTGTCAAACCATGTGTATGAACAGGGCGTTGCAGAAACTTCCCAGGACAAATTAAATTAGAGCAAAATATGCAGACAAAATACAACAGCAGAAGCCATACTGAAAACATCCAAGAGGAATGTAGGAGGCAAGACGAAGGTGATTCAAAGAGATGAAGGCGGAAGGAATGAGGGTGGAGGATGAGGACAGAATCAGGACCCAGTATGATTTTGAAACTTGGCTGTCCCAGGGACGGAAGCACAAAAGATCAAAAAAAGAAAAACAAATGTTTGATTTCCAAAACAAAGAGTCTGAACATGCAGGCCTACAGTATTTGTACACAAACTCAGCAGCCAGTTAATGAGGTCAGGGAAAACCAGCAATAAAAACAATCCGAGCTGTTATGGCCATGAGCTCATTCCAGTCTGTCTGTCCTCAAGCTATCAAAGAGCTTTTCATCTCAGCCTTTGGTTCAGTCCCATCCGGGTCATTACTGTATGAACAAAACATACACATGCCAAGGCGGCAAGATAAATAATTCCTATGCTGCAGAATGAAAATACCACCCTCCCTCTTCCTTTTTCTGTCTTCTTATGCCCCCTCTTCCTCTCCATCTACTGGTTTCCCCTCACAGACACATTTTGGCCCTCTCACGTTCACGCCTGGCACATAGACAGGAGCTCGTTAATCCTCCCACACACAGACTGCCCAGTTTCTCTCTTGTCAGGACAGTGAAATTAAGAGGTGGTGGTTAAAATATTTCACCCCTTCTATGTACACAGCTCATTCAAAAAAAATGTCACTAATGGAGTTCCTGCATGCTTTACTTAATTAAATTCAATACTTTTTCCTTCATTTAATTAAATGTGTTGTGAAATGCTGTTTTTGTCTAAGCCACATCATTTTATAATTGCAGCTCAAGTCACAATCAGTATCGTGGTTGAATGACTGCAAAAATGTGCAGTATATAAGTGCTGCTGTAAGTGGCACAATGATGATGACTTTCTGAATCATTTCTTTCAGCACATCTCCCAGTCTGACATATTTTTATCTTACATGTTCCCTTGACTAGAAAGCAAGACCAACCACCCTCAAATGTAGAATTATATACTATATGTGCGACCCATTCTCAGTTTCTCCCAGATTTAGCTCTGCTCAGGAGCCGCTCTCAGTCATCTAAGTGTACCCTGGCTTAGATTTGATCCAAAACCTAGCATATCATTACAGCTGAAAGAACATGGGGACCATGGCTGACCAGTAATTTGGCTTTCCTAAATGTTGTCACTAGTCATTCCAAAGTTTCTTTCCATCCCAACAGTCTGGACCTTGTAGGGACAACAAGCTGTACAATGTAGCGGGTAGTTTGCCTCTTTATGGGATAAAAAATATAAATTAACCATTTAGTCATGGCTGTATATAAAGATTTGCCCTAAAAGTCCACACTAATAGATGTTTTCCCCATTTATTGTCACCCAACAGGCATGGCATTTTAATCCGACATGCAAGTAAACGTGGAAATGTTGTCTTTAATTTATTATAATAAACACTTTGGCCTGCAAATAGTGCATGGTTTTAATCTGCAAGCTAAATGTTGTTTCAACTTAAACTGTCTGACTGTAGTCTGAATTTTGTGTATTTGCCATCTTTCATTAAGTTTTTTTTACTTTTTTGGTACAAATTCCAGCCAAATACAAAACTTCCCAAGAGTCATTGTTATGTGTAGGACTCATAATAATAATGTTTTTAATAAATATGTTTTTGATGGTTGACAAATGCAGTGTAGCTTAGATGGCCATACAGCTACTTTAAAGTTGTGTGCTTGGGGCAGAGTTTAAAGGACCAGTGTGTAGCATTTAGTGGCATCTACGGGTGTAGATGCAGATTACTGCCCCCTTGTCTCATCCTGCCTTTCGAAGTGTGTCGGAGAAACTACAGTGGCTGAGAAACTCTAGCTCTATCTAGAGTCAGCGTTACACACTAATGAAAACATACCTATGTAATATTATATTATATTCCATTTCTGCCAATAGATCCTCCTAGATTTTACACACTGGACCTTTAAATGTTAGAATCAATCACAGTACTCTGGCATGGTCAAGCGAAATTATGCAACCCTGAAGTTCAGAGGAGGGATTATAATATTTATTTAACTGTACTTAAGAGAACAGAAAATACCAGTGAGCAGCAAATACACCTGACATCTTTACCTGCTGTTTGGTATTTGCCTGTCTAGAAAGTACACAAGCTCAATAAAGCTCTGTCTTCCTCGTATGTGTGTGTGTGTGTGTGTGTGTGTGTGAACACGATGTGTGGGGTATTTCTACCACACAGGATCTACCAAAGCGCCGTTGGAAAGTGACTTCAAACAGGGCTTGTTTGTTCGGTGCACACCAATAACATTCACCTGGTGTAGATTAACATTTATGAAGCAGAAATTAAGAGGAATTTGACCCTCGGTATAAAGATGTCTTTGTGCAGCGATCAGGGTTGAGGGAGTGGGATGAGATACATGAGAGAGGAAGGTAAGGGGAGGAAGAGTAAGAATTAGAGCCAGAAGGAGGCTGGGGAGAGAAGAAGGCAGGAAAGACACTGATAAATTGATTGACAGACAGGATGGAGGGAGTCAGAATTAGAGAGAGGAGGATATACAGCAAAGGAGACGAGGGAAATACAATAAGGTGAGACAAGACTGTGATGAGGAGGGAAAAGTGAGGCAGGAAAAGAAAGATGGGGGAAAGGAGAAGGGACAGCAAGCTGGCAAGATGCTAAATGGCCTGAGAAAGGTTAGGAAGCATGACAAACAGACCACAAGGTGTCTAAAATAAAAAAGGAATAAACTATAATTAACTGGTTACATTTTAAAAATCCAACTTTAAGCAGAAAAATAGTATCTTTCAACTTCTGTTAATCTTATTTTGAAATCCAGCACTAATCAGAATGGGCAACTTACTGTCTACCACTCCAAGTTCTGAGGTTAGAGGGTCTTCTCTAAATATAATGCTGCTGACATGGCTGCACTGGGCTTCATGGTCCTAAACAGAAAACTCATTGTACCTGCTCCCTCTGCTGGCAGCTGCTGGTACTACAGGAGTGGCTTTCACAGTGGCACACTTGGCTCAGAGATCTGCAACATGGAAAGTGATGCTGAACCTCCATCTCATTTGACTTAGTCTACTTACTCAAGTCAGGGTAACCAAACCCTTGTTTTATAGCCTATTTACTACTACTCTGCACTAGTGTAATGGAGAGTTTAGCCGATTATGTCTCATAAATGACCAGTTAGAATTGGCCTTGCAAACGAGGCCAAAAGATTCTGGGGTATCTATAACTAGGCAAACCACACATCAACCAAAGAGGAAAAACAGAATAATACTGTAACCACGGCTGTGTCTGCTTGATTTGTCTTCCACCTCTAGTTTGTACCAAAATTGGATCCAGGAAAATCATAATGAGATTGTTTTAAAGGGTGAAATGTTGACATATGAAAGTGAATCTGCTGCTTGGCCTTTCTGTACACAAGCTTACTGAAAACAGGCTAGCAATCACTTTGGTGGCCTAAACCCAAAGTTTAACAAATACTTAATATAATCAAAGCTGCTCAGACCCATGGGTGTGATAAAAATAAGGTTATAGAACTTAGATAAGAGCAGGTTTTTCATGAAGTTAAGTTCCATACATGATTTCAGGCTTTAATAGTGAGCTAAGCTGTGCAAGGGCTTTACATTCTAGCACTGTGGGCCTGTACAGACAGAACCAAGGGAGGAGACAGACTTAAGGAGGCGGGAGGAGAGACAGGAATAGAGAGAGAGAGAGAGAGAGTCCCACATGGCCACAAAGATACAAACTCGTACTGACATTCCTATTTTTCTTAATATTTAAATATGTGGCAGGGGGAACAGAGCCACCAGTGCACGGTGAAATATACATATAAAACTTCTGATCTCAGTTCTGCTACTTCCTTATTGGCCAAGGTGTGTAAAGTAGGCAGGGACGCAATACAAGACAATTTCACCACCCAACAGCCCTAACTTAGGAAGGAGGAGGGAGTAGGTGGAGCGAAAGGAGATCATGGTTGTTGAAACCTGGACAGGACAAGAGGTCAGTGCTCCCTCTAGAGGTTGAAAGAGGGGAGTGTGGTGCCAACGGTCACCCAGGGCCCTGGGGTCCTGCTGGACTGAGGAGTGTACCATCATTACTCCAGGACAGCGAGAGCCGTGTTGAGACGTTCCATTTTGTGGACAGTGAGTGGGCAATTTATGTGGAGCCTAAAGGAAATGAGTGCACTCTCATCTTTTTAAACCCACAGAATATCTTAAAATACTGTAATCAAAGTAATTGTCAATTTACATCTTCCAATATCTGAAATTATTTGGAACAACTTTGTTTAATAACAAAATGTTTTGCAGAGTTTTTTAAATAAATGAAAAACACTTCACGTACAGTATTAAAACCTTTACTCGGACATGATACAACAAACAGAAACAAGATTCAGAATTAATGACTGAAAAAATTATTCATATTTTTTTTCTTCTTTCAATCCCCGAAGCACACAATAGTCAATCAGCTCCACATGTATGATGGAATAAGATACAAACAGGACAAACAACAGACACAAGAGAAAGAGAGAGAAAAATAAGAGTGACAGATTCCATTCTGATTTTACAGTTCTTGTATTTGTTTAATACTTTGTAATAAACAAAAGATGAAGAGCACAGTCGGAGAAGAGGGAGACAAGAAACCAGACAAAGAAACAGTGTGTGAATTTTTTTCATGGTGAAGAGTAAACAATTAAGGAAGATTCTAGATCTACTGGAAAATAGGTATTGTTTTTCTTCTCGATCGACAATGAACACCTGATCTTCTGAGTTCTTCAAGTCCCTGCCCTTCTTTTCTTCCCTCCTTCTCTCTCTGACCAACCCCTTCACAATCCCTCCAATCTTAAACACCAACAACAATCTCCTCCTTTAAAGAGAGACATCAAATTCAGTTGATCCCTCCCATCAAGTTCATTCAACCAGATCCTGCTCAGAGGTGTCTCCTGCAAACCAGACCTGTGGATTCTAGTGGCCCTTACACTGTGCGTCTACGATAAGAGCCACAGTTTCTTATTCACAATCTAAAACAGATTCTGAAGGCTATGTTTTTATTGCTGGTAGTATCCAGCTACAGCCACATGACTCTAACAGTAAAAACAGGTTGCAGTGGACCCAGTTGCAGAAAACACCCAACCAAATGCAACTGAAGAAGAGCAGGTCTAGGGCTAGGCTAGGCTAGTCCTGTTAAATCATTCCTTATTTGCATTTCACTCATATATGCATTTCCCTGTGTCTTGGAAACCAAAGCAGACGTTTTCAGGCCGGGGGACCCTATAAAAAGCACCAATGCACAGCTTGAGCACCCAGAGGGGACCACACACTGGTCTACTTCTCTCTCTCCAGTGACCAGTCCTCCCCTCTCCACACGAGCTGTCATTCCATTCCTATTAGGGCCCCTCTTTAGTATGCACTACACAGGCCACGGTTAGCGCACACTCTTTAGTGCGCAGCACAATAATCACAACATACATGAAAAACAAGCACAGGGGACTGAGTGGCCCTGCATTTAAAATGGCCACATCCGCAAACAGCTTGGCAGTGATAAATAAACCAGTGAGGGTGGTGATTTCAAGGCTGCATAGCACACACTGCCTCATTGATCATAACGGGATGGGCCTTGGCTCCAGGGGGCCTGTGTCAATACGTTAAAATGCCGCCCTGATATCTTACCTATATATGATGATCAATTCTTCAGTCACAGCCTGTGATCCATTTCAAAAAAAGCATATTTAATCAATGTCTTTATTTTCAAAAAAGCGAGTAATTTCAAAATGTAACAAAGATGGCGACAACAATACTGCTACACAGTCAAAAGGTCACAGCATGCGTCTGCCTTGAGTGCACACGGTTGCAACGACAAACATTTGTGGGCAGTGCGGTGCGATCCAGGGGTCTCCCATGGCAACCGCAGATCGTCGTCGCTGCTTTGCCGTCAAGTAAAGTAAGCAAAGAGGGACACACGGCACTGAACCCCTTCCTTACAGCTCTTCAATGCTTGTCCCATGAAAAGCTTCACATCCTTTTCAAACAGTCCAAGAATCAAGGTTTATTTTACAAGTCCATTCCAATGCAAAGCCCAGTAATTTTCAGCCCACATGGGTGAGTGAATAAGCATTTGTTAAGTTTGAAGTAAAGCAGTGGAGACAGGGCAAAGTGAAGGAAGGGAGGAGGCTGGTTGTGTTGATAAAATATCAGGTCAACAAGCCAGTTAATCACCCTTCCAGCTTGGTTCCTTTTCCACTGTGCATCCTTTCGTTATTTTGCTCAACAAATCAATTTAACAGCGCTCAGCACATCACAGCCAAAGCTATAGTATCTGCCAGTCAAAAGGCATAGCTGCAGACAGACTCCATACTCATGTGCATTAAAGCATACACATGTGGCCACATATACCCTATAACAAAAAAAACTGAAATACCCAACCACCAGCTCTTGCTAAAACAGTCTGCCTGGTCAGGAAAGCTTAAAGTGGCTTAGCATACAGATCCTGCATTGACTGTATAGCTTTTTTATTTGTTTATTGTATTTGTTTATCATCCTCTAAATGACCTAAGCTTATAGCAAAATGTAAAGAAATATAGAAATGGCATAGCACAACTTAAATGCATTGCTGTTATATGGAGGGATGGGAATTTTCATACATTTCACTGCCAATTAATATTAACTTAACAGACTAAGCTAAAATTTACGAATGCCAGAAACACAACGCACATATTGCATGACAATTGTTTGACAATGTTACCACAATATGAATATACAAGTTGCATATTTTCACTTTTCGATGAATCATCAACAAAGATTGGCGTTTGCTCAGCTGTGTACGTGACTAGTATTTTTAATGTCAACTAGTGGATCCACCAACACTTGACTGATTGTGTAACCATTCCCATCCCCAGCTATAAACATGATGCAGTAGCAGCAGGCTTAAACATTCAAGAGAGGAAGCTCCAAAAATAAAATCCTGTAGAGAACGTTGTTGAGATGTCAACTTAACAGAAGATGAGATTCTTCACAAAAGCACACATCCAAGTCAGCCTACTCTCTGAGGGACAAGGGGGAAAAACTCATTTTGAGTTGCACTCACACCCACAGCCCTGTTATAAGACAGCAGAGCTCTAATCCAGATCAAAGATCTCAAAATTGTTTTCACTCAAGTTTCAAAACTCAGGCTGAGACTGCACTGAGACCATACTGCACCATATACAGCACAAGAATGTCAGCAGATGTTGGCGCTTGTCACCTATCATAAGTTTGCCACCACCTTGTGTTTCAAACATCAAAATGTTGAAGCAGTGGTGCATGAGGGGCTGACCTTTGTCTGCATGTCGGAGATTAATTGACATCTGGAGACTACTTTGTTGTGTTGGCCATACATATGGATGGAGAAAAACTGAAACAACACCAAACTCTAAGGTTAGACCAACTTACTGACATGTTAAACAAAACCACCTGTCTTACAGGTCATCTAACTGCCAGCCTCCAAGTCCACATTACATGGGGGAGGCTAAGGATCCTCTCTGAGAAGAAGTATTTGGACTATCTGCAGAACAGCAAGCTCATTCTGGGCAAAGTAACTGGTGGACCTCAAAATACAACAGCTACTTTTGGTGCTTCCACCAGCCTAACCGCTTTCTAAAATACAAAAGACACTGGCTGTGTCTGGTAGAGTACGAAGACTTATCAGCCATAGCCAAAATGTACAAGCACTTAGCTGGTGTTCATATTCCATAGTCAGGATTCTGCTATAAAGTTGGGGGACATAAAATAACAATAATAAAAATAAAAGAGGGAAATCTATATTTTAAGCAGATCTTTTAAGCAGACCTGTAGAAATAGTGGAGAATGGCTTTCTGATTTGTCTGTGTACTTGCATACTGTGTTTGCATTGATGAAAATGTGCAAGTCTTAAACTAAAAGACTATGTTAGTTGTTTAGCACCTGGTAGAGGACAGCTGTACCTCTTCCCTGTAGAATGATACTGCAAAATGTACGTTTCTAATTTCTACTAAATGTGGTGACTAATAAGAAGGCTAAATATACCTCAGAACGGCAACACTCTTAAATAGTTAACTAACAAAAATGGTAATAAATCTTTGTGTACCCCAGTACTGCTCACCTTTGAGCATGTAGACGGTTTAATTCATAGTTTGCTCTATATTTCCTGATCATGTGGTAGCTGCATTTGACTTTTCACTGCAATGCTCAGATTAAGTTGCCCACAAATTTCTATCACAGTAAATGTCAAGTGCCATTGTCAATGAAATCCAGCCAATCAATTACCAAGAACAACAGGAAACATTGGCGTTGTTGGTGCAAAAGCAGCAGTGAGGTGTGGTTTGGCCCTGGGCTCAATAACAATTTCATGGCGATGTTGTTACAAGTCTAATGTTGATTCAACAGCAAAGCTTTTAAATTTGTTTGTTGGAGCCACATATTTCACATTCACATGAGTGTGAACAGGCCTTTGTTTCTGCATGACTCCCATGTTGTTGTTTTTTAATTATTTACATCTACTGTACAAAAGTGGCAAGCATTGAGCCAATAAACACTGAATAAAGTTTCCAAAGCAACAGGTAGTAAGTGTAGGATTTCCATTATATAGCATTAACTTATTTCATTATTGCTTTACAGTACATGACACACAAGAGGTCCTTTGCAATTCTAACATGGGTGCATTGTTTATCAGTCTATATTAGCTAGTGATCCATCTGTAGTGGGGGACTGCAAAAGTATTGCAGATAAGCCAAATTTGATGACTTGCCTCTGTCAGATAGTTTCAGATGGTTTTTAAATTTCCCATCTCTGCTTCTGCTTTATTTGTTGCACCTCTTTTACAGGGAACAGAGTGCAGTGCACTACAAAGCAATGTATCTCAAACCGCTTAAGTATCTTGTACAAGGACACTTCAATAGCTGCTGGGTGAAGGGGTCAAACATCACACTTATTTATTTACTCAATAGTCTGACGTAACAGTAGGACACACATCTCAGATAGAGGCTGACCAATTATATGCAGAATTGTTCAAAGAACACAGCATTTCTTTCTCTTCCATGGCCAGTTGATACAAATAAGATTTTTAGAATAAAGAGGAACCTATCAAGAATAATGGACTTTCTGCTGGATTGAGTGTTAGGACAGACTAACATACCTGATGCCAGCCAACATTTTCAACAAAGTGACTGGTGGATAGTGCTAATTCCAAAACATGGTGATCTTCTGCACAGGAAGCGGCCAATTATTTAGCAAGTTCTGTAACAAATCATCTGATTTGACAACGATGCAATATTAAGAAAACCCTACACATAGTACCTTCAAGGTCATCTTAGGTGTCTGAGAATAGATGGTCATTTCTAGGAAACAGGAACATTTACACAGTTACAACTCACAAAGTGCATAAATGACCACCATCAAAGGGAGGATTTGGGGGAAGGAAGATAAAAGACTAACAAATACGATTTTGTCTTGCATGAAGCTGTACTTTTTGTGAGCCTCAAGCTGTTTAAAATGCCAACCAACTGCCAAAGTAGAGAAAAGGATAAAATCAAAACTAGGAAACAAAAAAAACAAAAAATTCAAGTCATTCTTCTTGTCTTACAAAGCCCGCTGTGCGCATCAGGGTGGGAGGGACAAAGTTTGTCTGTTCAACAAAGTGCTCCCACCCCCCTTTTCCTGGATTTCAATGCCTTGGAAAAAGCTCTCATTTCATGAGTACAGTACTTCAAAATAGAAACTCAAACAAGTTTCAGCATGAATATTCAAAAAAGCATAAAACATTTCAATGTTTACGATACTGGATGAACTCACTGGGAGGGTGTGTCTGCCTATCCACTATAGGACACCTCCTGACCAATAAGAAATTATTTTGTTTTATAGTGGACAGTTGACTGAAATGCCACGCACCTGATTTTAAGCTAAAACCATACATGAATAACTAACCGGCTAGTGATGGATAGAATATACAGAGGTGCAGCTAGTAGTGTAACTAAGCAACCCAAGTAAAAACAGGGGAAGTATACCAGTTATGCAGAAGTAAAAACCCACTGTGAGATGAAGATTTAAAAACTGAAGGCTAACTTAAAATTAAGACATTTACTGTATATGTGAGATAAAAAAGGGATATTTTCCTTGAGTTTACCCCTATGATGGAAAACTGAATATGGGAAAAGATGGTGAAAGTTTGTGTGTATTAGCATATTGTTCATCCAGAGCCATTTTATCTGTGTATTAGTTATGCTGTATGTCAAGTCATGTATGCAAGTTAAGATTTGCATGTGCGTGTGTAAAGATAATTAGCCGGTGGCAGGGAATATGTGTGTGTTTTTATGTGTGTGTACAAGTGAACTGCCGGTACATTAAGACCAGCAGGTTCTGCAGTTAAGTGAGGCCCAACAAGAAGAGCCAGCAACCCAACATGGGGTGATGTGTTGGTAATCCTGGTGTACATCGGATCCTGACTGGACCGAACCTGGCTCCTCTAGGTGAGCTGGTGAGGCGCTTCTAACATTTCCATCAGGAAGGTGTCGATGGGCGTGTCACCAATCAGTTTAAAGAAGAACAGGTGCTCCAGGCACTTTAGACCAATGGAGCGCAGTGCTGGAAGTCGGAGGAGGAGCTTTGCAAACCTAGACGACAGAAGGAAAGATGAGAAGGACAGTAGAGTGAGAAATGACCATAGATATGTCAATGTAAACTGAAAACGAGAATTCCGAGTATGCATTAAGCAAGAAAATATGTGAAAGAATAATTCTTCAAATTGTTGCAAAGATGGGACTTGGGATACGTCACAAAAAGGCCCTCCTTATCATCATAATATCTGATAATGATGATGATAATATCTCATCTGTGTGTCAACAAAGTCTTGAAAGTTGTCTTATGATACGATATGCACACATTATTACTTACTACTGTTGAAAAATACAGTTACAGTATTTGCTTTTTTTCCCCCACTTCTATTAGTATTTCAACAATCAATTAATCACTCTTTATGTTGGCCATGACATTACGAATTTCTACAGGTATGCAACAGGAGTAGCTATGTTCTAAAACAGTTGGTTATTTGTTAAAATATGTAATTTTTATCAAGAAGAAAAGGTCCAGTGTATGTCGAGTGACCAACCAATAAGTAAGCATACTCAAAGGTAGATTAATGCCTAAACAGAACAGACCTTCTGAGTGTCTTTTCATAACTGCAGCCTTCATCCAGCTGTTCTGTGCTGCAGTGACATGTTAAAGCAGCAGAGCTGGGATATGTCTGAGCAGCAGTGCCTCCCGCCCCAGTCAACAGCATGACCTCTTGCTTTTTTTAGTATGTCTGTATGTTACAGCCTACCTGCCCTGCTGATCGGGGTATTTCTGTTTGCAGTAAGCCTCAAGAGATGCGTACACTCTCTCTCTCAGGAGCTCCACCTCACTGGGGTTGGACAAACCCTTGGCATCTTCAGGTGAAAACAGACAACATTTACATGATCTCCATATGGGAATGAAACACATTTTATATGAACATTGGATCTTTCAGAGCTTAATTAGTCCACTTTCTCTAATGACATTTTCCACATGATTTTCAACCTTCCACATGTCTGTGTACCTGGGTTGAAGAGGATGATGGCTCGAAGGCAGCCCAGCTCTGTCTTGTCCATTTGCATGTCTCTCATCTTGCTTACAAGCTCTGTCAAAACCCTGCAGAGAGGAGAGGAGAGGAGAGGAGAGGAGAGGAGATTTGCAGGGGGAAATCCCAGTTGGAAACAGGAAGACAATGCCAAGTTAGGAAAGAGAGCAGAAGCAAGGAAAAGTACGGGAGAAGAAGATGATAAGAAGATAAGAAGAAAAGAGAGCAGGAAAGCAATAAAAAAGGAGGAAGAAAGGGAGGGAATAACAGAGTATGAACAACAGAGAGGGACCAGACTCCATAATCACATTGTTATTTATGGTATCTTCTCAATGTAATGACTTTATGTCCAAATTACTTAGTGCATGGCTGAACTGCTGGTTCTGCAGGGGGGAGAAAAAACACTTGTTAAAATTGGCCAGGGTGGCAAACTGCTGCCACCAAATGGTGGTAAGTTATGAGTGACTGATTCTTGTTTGTCCTACGTAATGATTTAGTGGTTGTTTGTCTTTATTGTAATTAGAATTACCTGTGCTAGCAAATGTGTGAAAGGTGGTGTGAAAGGGATGGTGAAATCTACCAGTTTACTGTTTTGCTTCAGATTTTAATTTCTTCCACACAGTCTATCTTCCACTTTTTTGTCTTGCCCTCAACTAATGATTTGTTTTACTTGAGATGTGTTGTGTTGGAGCAAGAATGAAGAAAAAGGCAGAGCGAAGGTGGGATAATGATTTTGGATGTTATACTTTATACTTTAAATGTAGTCCATTTATTCTTAAAAATGCTTCACAAATCTTGAAACCTAAGGAACTAAGATTCCTGCCATTCAAGAACAATGCATGCAACCAGTAGAATGAAAAACTTCACATGGCAAAAACAGAGTAAATACCAAAAGCATATCAACTTTTCCAACCAACATATCAATACATTTTAAATCAAAGGAGTTCATGCTTCATTAAAAGTGTAGCGCAGTGTCATAATACACAAAATGTCAGCTTGGACTTAAGAGGCTTGATGTGGGTCATAAGTGCATCTTTAATAACTACTTTGCTCTCCTGTAAGGAATAAGACTTGGATGAAGGAAGAGAGGACGTTGCAGATTGGGGGCAAGGGGAAAAAGTGATGGCCATTAAGGACAGCATATTTGCTACTCCATCAGCCATCATCAGAAATGGATGTCTGCTTTTAATGATGTGGACTGATTTTAACAGACACCACCCAAGCTCACAATAAAGTTGAATTGCCAAAACTAGGTTTTTATACACACCCAGCACAATAAAAACATGTTTTATTCATATTTAGCTGAGAAAGTGGAAGGAAGTAAGATGGACTTTGGGTATGCATCCAGAGTATATTTCACTAATGTTACAAAATGAGGACTTCCTATCACATAGGGAGTATTATTTAAGAGGACCAGTAAATTAGTAAATTAAGGGCATCTAAAAACAAACTTGACTGTGTAAACCACAGACACTGGAGCCAGCACAGACATCTTGATTAACTCATTATGGTCTGGCAGTAAGCAAAAGATGCAGTACTAGTTTTTCACATCATCATCTAAACCACACCTCTACAATTCACTGAGTGATCGGGTCAAACAATTCTCAGTGGATGTTCTTCAGAATAATATCTTGTAGTGGCTGGTTTCTGCAAAGCTGTGGAAAAGCCTAAAAGCATTAACCTTTTAGCTTTGGTTCCGTGTTTGTTTCAATGTTAACTTGAGAGGAGGGGTTTCAGAAAGTGTTTGTGTAGTGGCGTAATTACCTGTCAAATATGGCCCCAACCTCGGCATTGTGCGCCCTGTGTATTCAATCACAATGTGTTATTACAATGTCATTACACAGTTACACTGTTATTACAGAATTGTGTCTGTTGTCTGAGCCCTTCAGCTGTACAGATAGTCAGTGCTTACATTTGATTTCACATGGTGAAAATCTGTAGTGTTACAAACTACTTTCTGATATGTTTAAAACTGTTGTAAAATAGTATGCATGGGGATTGTTCACATTTTTCATGTCTGGACTCAAAGTCTGTCTTGTACCTGCACCCAGACACTGTATCTTACACTGTATTAATATAAGCAGAGAGGAGGTTATGATAAATCTTATGAGCCAAATGCATAACAGAAGAAAACCATTAGTACACATGAAATTGTTTATAAGTACAAAACGTTTAACCCTCAACCTTTAATAAGTGTTCCTAGCTAAATTTAAAAGTAACTTAAAGTCCAACTGAAATTAATATTTTTTTTGTCTGCTCCAGCATTCATTTCTGCTCTGTAAATCACATAACCTGTGTTCTCCTTTAAGAAAAAAATCAGAAACCAAAAGGTAAAAATGTATGACATGTTTTTGTTACATGATGGCGCCCCCTTGTTTTGCATTAAATTCACAGAATACTGTTCAGTTATCCATCTACGCAGATGGAGACTTTAATTCAATACAGCCAATCAAATCTTGCATAAAGCAGTAATATCAACATTCTGTCATAAACAGAGCAGACACACGGACCATGACGACAGCCTGCTACACAAGTGCCACAGCCTTTGAACATTAGCTCTTCCTCCTTCTAATCTAACCCCAGCTTGTTGAAGGAGCAACTAAACAAAAAAGGTGTGGTCTTTACTTACCACTAACTACACGCTACATGCCCATGATATGTAGGCTACAAGGCTGCATGTTTCTTTACTTTGTCTCTGGTTCCCTACAGTGTAACATCTACACTCTGGCAGCTCCTGTCAATCAAATACAAACACCAACACGCAACTGCAGCTGGCTGAGTCAAAAATAAATTAATACATTTAAAAGACACAAAAGAGATGACTAAATGTGATTTCAGTTGGACTTTAAGCAGGTTTCAATGAACTGAGCCTATTGTATGAAAAATAGAGGCTCGAAGGGCAAAAACAACATTTAAGATAACAAATTAACAATGCAAAATAGAAAACTTTAAAACAGAAATACAGATTTAACAACTCAGAAATCAACATAATAGGAAAACAAAACATTTCAGAAAACACAAAAAATCTGAAAAGAAAGGTGCCTACTATCTTTGTCATTGTTGTCATTGATTGGTTGGCTTACATATTACAGGTTGTCATACTTCTCACATGGATTTTAGGGTTATTGGGTTGACAAGACACCCTGATTCTTCCGAAAGACAAAATAGTAGGTACACACCCTTTCCAGACTCTTCTGAAATTTTGTATTTTCTCTTTTGTCAATTTGAGTTGTGAAATATCATGTTTTCCTGTTGTGTAGTTTTCTGCAAAAGCTGTTGTATTTTTTTGCTTTGTTCGGTTCTTTAGTTAATGGTGGTTGTGTTTTGCACTTCGGGCCAACATAGTAATAAGTCAATCTCAAGTAATGCGTGACTAAGAAATGATATCCTTATATTTTATTATTTACATCCTCCTGTATAAAATATGATTCAGTTGCTTCAAACAGATGCTGATGCGAAGCTGAAACAAAAGCCTGCTGCTAGAGAGCAGTGCTATGAGAAAAAGTATCAGAAGAAAATCATTGAGCCATTTGCCATAAGCCCAGTTAGCTTGCTTTAAACCTGACTGAATGTCTAGGCAAACTTAACCCTTTATAACAATGTAATTACTGTGTAATTAACAGTGAATTGACACGTTGTGATGTAGTTGGGGATTTACATAAAAAATCATTGAGATTTTATTTTCAGGTGATAATGTAATGAACAGAGAAAATGCCTCACTCGAAGCAGGATAAATGTATTAAAATCTGCTGATGTAATATACTCTGGATAATGCAATTACATCCCATTATGACATGAACCAGCATTTAAAAAGTTTGACATCTCAATCAAATATAGATATATAACATATTTTGCATCAAAGAAATGTAATAATTTGAGTAATCTCAACATGTAATGAATTTGAATTTTCTAAGTTCACTTTTGAATAAACAATTGACAGTTGATGTAGTAATGCTAAAAAGGCCATGGCTAGTGAGGCCATGGCTGTTATTCTGTTTGTCTTTATTCCAGTGATCATGAAATAAGTATTTCGGGATCTCAAACTGACTGAAGTTTGTTTGGACTGACAATGTATCTGTGGCCACCAATGACTTATTTTACAATATGGTGGCCTTAGATTAGATATAAAGATTTATGGCTAATGATGGCTAATAATTACAGATGATTAGAAGGATTTTGCGCATTTGGATCTTAAGATCGTGAAAAGACATTCTTGTGGAATTATTTTATGATCAATGACAACAAAGTCTTTGCGTCAACATGAGATCACAAAACAATTATTCTGTGGTCAGCAGAAAAGAAAATATATACCAAAAGCTATACGAATGGTCTCTACAATGTTATGCACAATAATGGGATGTGAACTATTACATTAACATATTTTAAAGTATATTACTATAATATATTAACATTAGTATTGTACATTAGCCAGCCATTATCACATTATCAAATGCTGAAATAGGCGCTATGCCACTGATAGTGTGTGTGCGTGCACATGCATGCATGTCTATGGATAAGCATTAGTCACCAGCCTCCCTGGCATGCGCTGTCACCCTACAGGCAGCACTAAAGAAGCAAGATCTCTCAGCCAATCACAGCCAACGCAGAACACAGCAGCTGCAGCCGACCAAAGATGAAGACACAGTATCCTAAACCCCAGTCATTAATCCAGCTAAACATGAGGAATATGTGTGTTTTAAATATAAAAAAACAGTGAGTTTGAAACCATCAGGGCCATAGAAATCCACATGGATAAATAAAGGCAAGTGTTCTTCCTTTTTTCATTTAGCTTTCAGGACTGGGGGTTTACCAGGTGAATTCAGGGGGGATTGTGGATTTTACTTGGCTTATCAGGGTTGGTCTAATTTAGGCTAAGTGTAGGAGGTCCTAATGATGTATAGAAGCGGATCTATTATTAGCAGGGATCCTACACAGTTTGGATTTCAAAGTGGAGTAGAAAGGCCTCTGAAAAGGCACTTAGATCACATAATGCCAAAACTCTCCAGTGAATCTCTCCAGTTTTTTATGGTAGTGGGTCCTCTCCAGTTGGGTCAGCCACCCAAACTTCTGAATATTGGGGAAATCACTTCTGTGGTATGTCTGTCAGAGTGACACTGTTGTTGTTGTGTATTACCTGTCAAAGATGGCTCCAACACCTGCACTGTGAGCACTGTTCCTGTGGACATGCAGGCCGGTGGCCAGTAAAATCCCGTCCTTCACCGAGATGGAGCGATGGGAGAATGATGCAATCAGGAGTTCATTCCAGCCTGTTGGTGTTGGAATTGGTGTCTCAATTTTTCTTGTCAAAATGTGTAAATATTCCCAATGTAACAGCTGGATTTTTTAAATTACAGTCCTATATGAAAAAAGGCAAAGGTCTCCCACATATTTCCTGACAATATACATTTAAAAAAGACGATGATGAAAACTACAGTTGTCAGAGGTGTAAAAGATTGCAGATGCAATTTAACAACAGTAGGCCTGTAGCGATGCGTTGACGCGTCAACGTCAAAAATACGTTGACGGCAAATTTTTACGTTGACGCTTCGCCACAGCTCGACACACACACATGGGAGACGTGTGTTGTGTGGCTTGGGCTCTGCGCACTTCGGTGGTGCTGGCTGGCTGTCTTGGCTCTCGGTTGGTGCGGCTTATATCGTCTAGACGTTGGCTAGTACTGGGCGGCCTAGAACAGCTGGTTTTAAGCTTACAACGATCTACTTGATCATCTATGTTGGCCTTGACATGGATGCTGCTTCACGGCTGCAGCAACACAGCCTATTAATAGTAGCTAGCGTTGGCTGGCTGTGGCTTTGGCTGTGGCCTGTGCGGGCGGCTAGGAGTGGTTGTGCTGGGACGCCACCGGGTGCACGTGGAGCTTGCTGGCATGCACAGGCTGCTGCACGGGCATGAGATTTGATTGGCCACGAATTGGCGTGGGGGGCCCTTTGAAGCTTGGTTGTCTGTTCTCCTTTGCGAGGTGGCAAAGAGCGACTCCTTCCGTTTCAGAGGAGAACTAAATGCGTGTGGTTAGCCTAGCCACCACCCCAAACGTGCACAGAATCTGCTAGCAAGCAGACTGCAGGATAGACTTTTACGATAATCTGCCATCTAACGATTAGCTAACTCAGTTAATCGGTCCAATTAGTCGGGTTAGGACTGAGCTAGTCGACTAATCGATAAAATAATCGCCCGATTAATCGTTAATAAATAATCGTTTACCTCCAGCCCTAAACAACAGCGTCTAATAGTGTCTAATGTGTAACAGTGTGTAATGTTTTGCACCCTCATTTTCATACACAAGGGACCCTAAATGATTATTAGTGTTGTACAATAGTGTTGAAGGAGAATATGATGGAGCGGCACAAAGCCCTGAATAGTCTGATTGTATAAGGGCTAAACATACTCTCATTTTACATTGACAGACCATACGCCCCGCTTACTTTTCCTTTATACTCATGATTTGCAAGTGCAAGTTAAAACTCTGAAGCCTACGTCAAGAATGGAAGATTCATTAAACTAAGAGCTTACCCGCACGTAGCAAAATGACCTGGTCATCCAGTGGCAGCTCAGAGAAGTGCGGGATCCTCTTGGCCCACTCCACAAGGGTGAAGAGCTGCTTGTCTGCTGCCTGACAGATGTTGGTGACGGGGTCGTTGGGCTGAAGAAAGCAGATTTAGAGGATTGTTGTAATTATTTCATCAAATCGAACACCACAATATTTACACCAACAGCCTGTGAAAATTGTTAAACTATGAACAAACAAGATGAATTATATCTGAATAATGTCAACAAAGATGGGAATCTCATATGTTCACTGTTCCAGCAACTAGACTACTCACAGAGCTACCGCCCGAACTTCCATCAGCATGAAGCTCTGTCTTCTGCTCTACAGCCATCTCAGCTTCCAAAATCTTCTCCACTGGCATCTCCTCGTTCACCGCGCTGGTAGACTCCACCTCACCTTCTCGTTCCTTGTTCCTCTGCCGCTCCTCTTGGACAGCTGCAGGATGGGGGATTGGGGTGCACAGAAGGGAGCACAGAAGAAAACAATGAAGGCCAAGAAAGGTGAGGAAGGGATAAAGAACAAAAAAAAGGAGAAAATGGGTGGGTGCAAAGGATAGGTAAAAGGGGCCGATGTGAAAGGACAGAGGAGCAGGAAAGGTGGAAGAGCAAGGGAATGGACAAGGACAAAAAAGCAAATGGATTGGACAGGCAATGGTAAAGAACATAACAAATAAAAAAAGAAAAAAGAAGAGAACGAGTAGTGGAAAATTAAATGACAGACAGGTGTGCCACAAGACAACAGAATGGAAGTAGAAGTAGAATTGGAAATTACCAGAAAATGTGTGGACAATGAAGAGGACAAATGAGGGAAAGTGGTAAGGAGTTGATATACAAAAAGAAAGAAGCAAAAAGAATAGGGAAAGATAAAAGGGTAAGACCAAATTAACATGAAATGTGTAAAACAATGGGAAAGAAAAGAGACACAGATATGTACATTTCATGATAAATTCAAAGTCTCTCATACAGTCTTTCATACTTCTTTCAGGCCGTCTACCAAAGCCTAAATGGACTATGTAATGACCATATAAGACATTCACAATATAAATTATTACAAGTATATTACAGTTATTCTGAAATTTTGGACAGATTTCATTTTTCATTGTCAAGAAATCTCTCTCTTCTACCAGAACTAAATTTAACTTAATCCCTTACCCAGATTAAGGAAACTAGGTTTCTTGTTTTCATGAAGTTCAAGAAATTAAGTTATTGCAGAAAGGCAACAGCAATCCGGTTTATTTAGGTGCTTGTAAATCCAATGAATACAACTGTACAATCACACTGCATTCTCCCTTTTCTTGAGGTTCTAAAGAAGCTTGCATGTAACAATATATGGATGGATACCAAGGCAAAGTTCTTGTATGTGATACTTGGCAATAAACCTGATTCTGATGGAACGTTTTCACTTCAGATTAACTGTGTGGGTTTGTTTATACACAGTACTCCAATTTTATGGGACCAAAGATAATTGGACAAATTGAAAAAAACATAATTAGTCATCATTTTTAATATTTTGTTTCAAATCATTCGCAGTGAAAGACTGCCAAAAGTCTACCACCCACAGACATTAGTAGAAACAGACTGAGGTCATGCGACTGGGTCAGTCAATAACATCCCACTGTTAGGCCCTACAACTGCCTTGCTCCATTGTCTTAAAATTGGTAGGATCTGGATAAAAAAGATGAAGAGTCCTACACTTTTCACCAAATACAAACATGAACACCCTTAATATCAAGGCTGATTGCGTCACACATAGGATGTCACTGTCCAAATATGTACAGACAGCACTGAATTGCCCAACAGTCTCATCAAAATTTTCATTAATTTGTTCTGTGTATTATTTTATTGTTTTTACCATTTGTTGAATAGCAGCAAACAGAATTTGTGCTACAAAAACAGCGTCTATCAACTGTTTCAACAAAACCTTTCTCAAACAAAAATATTTTTATGATGAATTAAACAATCATTAACATGTCATGCTTAAATCTACTTGATATCACTATTGATCTGCATCATTCACTGTGTCTGTATGTGATACAGAAAAGAAAAAAGTCACACCAGTGGTCACAAATTTTGAAAAGTAGGCTTGTGACTGAAAGCTGCCACATTGGAAGATTGGCTTGAAAAATCTGGGTGGGAAATGTAATGGAAAAGTATCCTTTCTCTACTTCAAGCAACAAAATATTCTTAAACAAGGAAATTAATGTTCCTGAACAGAAATGGAACTGCTCTGTGTCTGACTGTAGTAACTGTAACCTTACTGGGCAGCACGAAGGGGGAATAAGCAATAAGTAACTGTGAAGTAAAGTAGGATGATGATTAAAAGAAGTGTGCATACTCAGCAACCTTTACAGAATCTATAAAGGTTAAAAAAACATGGTGGAATGATTCAAGGCTGGCACTGGTCCACCTCTGAGCACTGGCAACAAACTATGGAAAAACATCTTAAACAAGCTAGATATTCAATGTAATATTTATCTGCTTTTCGCTCACTCATACAGACACAGACACACACCCCTCCCTCCCTCTTCTCCTTACATCTGTCGTTCATCTTGGCCACTACAGAAGGAGGGAGGGGGGGAGAGAGAGAACGAGAGGAAACAAAAAGAGGAAGAGAGGGGGAAAGGGGGTTAGTGTTTACAAGGCTTACCCACCCCCATCTCCCTCTCTACCACTCTGTACTCGTTCTTTCTATCCCCTATTCTACAAATATTACTAAAGTGGAAATTGCACAGGAAAAATATCAACACTAATACCGTAATTTAGTGATGCATTTAGGACTAATTATAGATTAGGTATGAGATCCCATTTAAATTAGGCTAAGGATTTACAAGTTGAGGCAGATTACAGCAGAAAGTACCTGCCACAGAAAGCAGATGCCTTGAATGTTCCTTTCATCTGCATTAACCTAAAACTCCATTATACAGTGATCAATATAGTACAGTGACCACACATCTCAGCACATACAGTTACGATCAAACTATGATAAAAGTAGCATCGTACTGTGCAGGGGAATTCAGTCCTGATCTAACAATCTAATATGAGAGAGAGACTTAGACTTAGCAACAGATAATCTCAGACTGACTGCCTTAAAATGGATGTAACGTGATTTTCGATGTTAAGACACTTGTACAATGCAGAATACAGATCAGTAGTAGTAAATTTGTATGTTTTAATTTAAATCACTTTGAGCATTACATGATTAAAAAGGAGCTATATGAGTTCATCTGGTTAAAAGTATTACAGTTTAATAGCTGCCAAAGAGACCACACTGGAGTTTGGGCTTTTTCATTAGTGCAAATCACGGGATGTTAATATGGAGTCTGATGGCCACCTGAAGACAAACACCTGGTAAATGTGACGTAGTTATGTGATACTTCCAGACTATGTGTTGACAAGGATTAATTTTACACACCATTACACAGTGCTTATAAAAAGTGTTTAACCCACTTTGACTTTTTCATGGTTTATTGTTTATCAATGCTGTGGATGTAATGAAGACTTTTGATACCGATTAAAAGCAAAAAGACTCTTAAATGTCAAAAAAAAAGAAAAGACAAGAAGAAAAAGGTATAACACGCAAAGGGGCAGTGGAATACCTTTTATGTTCCATACATTTGACTGACATTCAATGGATTATAGAACACTGAGGGCTGCAAAGTATACACTAGTTGTGTCCTCCAGTTCTGGGCAAAAGAAGGCTGCCATTTCTCAAACGCATCTGAAGGGGCCTTTAGAAAGGGAGACCCTTAATGACGTGTCCAGCATTGAAGTGTTAAGTTGAAACGAGGCAGCCCTTGAGCTGGGGAAACAGCCAGTGTGTTGGGAGGAGCAAAAGTTTATATTTTCGTTTGATTGGTTAAATAATTATCTTTATTGAGTCAGTCCAACAAAGCAAATATGCCATTTTTAAAGGAGAATAATTTCTTCCAGGTCTTGAAAAGAGAAATTAACCGATCAATCAATATCATCAGTAATGAGTATTAGAATAGGAGCTTAACATATTTGTCCCCCCCCAACTACTGTTGGATACACTTAAAAGCAAGATTTGGAATGGATATCTGATAATTGCATAATTTGCTATGGACCTTCTTCTTTGTGTCCTTAATAAAGCCATTATTATTATATTAACATGTGTTACTCTATGTCTAGATCAAACGCTTAACCGTCTATCCATAACAAATGCACCATAGCTTGATGATGATTAAACCATTTTATAAAATCGAGTTTTAAGAAATCTTCCTAAGAGCTTTCTGTCAGCTAAAAGCCATCTTCATAAAATGTATCAAATAAAATGGCTATTAAAACCAAAATTAAATAATTTGTTTAAATGCATTTTGTGCATTTAAACGTAGAGTAGTGTGAAAAGGTGAAATGGCCTCCTTTTTAGGAGTCATGAGCAGAAGAGGCTGAGTACCAGCCATGTACAGGGTGACAAGAGCCCCTGCTTGCTCACCTTCTCTCTTCATGCCCATGGCCAGGCACTTCTGGTAGCGGCAGTACTGGCAGCGGTTTCTCTGTCTCTTATCCACCATACAGTCTTTATTGTCCCGACAGGTGTAGGTCAGGTCTTTGCGCACTGTCCGCTTGAAGAAGCCTTTACAGCCCTCACAGCTGTAGACACCATAGTGCTTACCTGTAGGGTGTGGGAAGGAGGAAGGAAAAGGGGATGACAATTTGTTTCAAGTCTGACATTTTACAGATCTCAGGGCCTCTGGCTTGTTTACATTGTTCAGCATAACTTAAAGGCAAGGCACAGAAAATGAGAGTTGTATTGAAGTTGTCTTGTCACCAGAGGATCTGTCTCCACAGATGGAACAAAGGCGTTTCTGGGATAGCATCGGCCCTGGACTGTGGGACGACAGCTGCTTCAAGCCCAACGGAGGCTTCACATCATCGGAGCTGCTCACTGCATGGAGCCCTGACATGGAGACTGTTGAGTTGATCTGAAAGAACGACAGAGGAGAAGGTGAACACAATGATGACAAGGCTTGTTAGATACATTTTATGATTCATTTTGTACTCCTGTAAGAATGTATGAGACATGATGAACATAGTCACTAAGGCCACACAAAAAACACCAGGTCACAATAAGCCAGATCACAGCTGTTTCTGGTTAAACAAAAGGTCTTTGTTTTCAGACACTTAGAATACCAATCTGATAAAAAAAGATAAAAACAAGCACTTTTAGTGGATGTACTTTGACAGGTTCATTTGTCTTAGGAATAAGGTTAGCTTAAGTTGTGGCCATTGCAGCCCTTTTCACAAATATTTTCACAGCTAGCCCTGTGAATTAAGTGTTTATTTCAACCAAACCAGCGCTGGTGATTGTTAGAAAGATAAACATAGACAGTTTTGGTGAGTTGTATTTTATTTTTTCGTTTATGTTAATTTTTTGATTTCCATAAAAGATAAGAAGCCTGATTATCATTCAAAGACGCTCAGTTTCTACTTTCGTGCAATCGTGACATTTGATCTTTTCTGCCGTGTAAGAGTTGCTGCTGAATGCAAATTTTAGCGCATTCATTTGCACTGTATATCTTCTTTGGCCTAAAAATATTTTAAAATCTGACTCGTGACGGAACAGAAAAACAACTGCAAGTCCTCTGTAAGTCCTCTCTTACCTGTGGACTGCTAATGGGGCCGTAACCCACCGATGGCGTGCCAGGTAGACATGGCGAGCCCAGCGAAGAACTGATGACGGAAAAGGGGGAGCCGATGCTACTGATGGGGCTGTTGACTCCGGAGGTGGTGATGGGAGGCAGGGAGGTCATGGATGCAGCTGAGGGAACCAGCGGAGGTGAGCGCTGGCCCGATGGTGGGGAGGACACAGACGAGCTGTCTGGGCTGCGGGAATCTGTTAAGAGATAGCAAGAGGGAGAATATGCAAATAACTCATGCAGTCATTATTATAAAAAAGGCTGAGCTTATTAATAGAGGTGATACAGGTGTGTTTTTAGCAGGATTGTTTTATTTATTCCCACAGTCAAAGACAAATATGGTAGTTCAATTACTAACCAAATACCAACTTGAAAACAATAATAATGGCCTGGAACAGGTTAAAGCGGATATACAGTTTAAGTTTTAACAAGAGAAACTGTGGATCTTTGGAGCCCCTCTGTAGCAATGGGGTCTATTTCCTGTGACATAAATCAAATATTGCAGGTTTGCACTAATTTTAATGCATTTTACATGAAAAAAAAAAAAGTATGCTAGGAATTAATGACAACTTAACTGTACTGCTGTCTTGATTGTAACCTCTAGTGACTTCATGTTGATAAAAGCTATTTTAATTTGTATCATTTTTACTACCCCCCCCCCCCCCCCCC